TTGATGTCATCACTGTCTCAACAACATGGCTTGGATCTTCTGTATTATTTAAATTATTTGAAGAGTATATTGACGAAAAGTGCTTAGCAAAGTTATTGCATATATCAGAGCCATTCGTTACAGAAACATTATTATAATACATCCTAGATGGATATCCGCAGCTGTTTTTATTTTTTTGTTTTATAAAGGACCAGAAAATCTTTGGATTATTCTTTATCGTAGACTCAATAGTGGATAAGTACTTTATATAACTTTTATTTATCAACATAATAGACCTTGCTTTTAGCATCTTGAAAGTTATTTTATCACGTGGATTTTTAAATTTAGAATATAATTTCCTGTATTTCGACTTCTCGTTTAAAACATGTATGATATCTCTATTGAACCAAGCAGGATAACGACTAGATCGACAAGGAGAAGATAGGGGAATATACATTTTGACCGTTTCACTAATTATATTATATAATTTCTCTACTACAACATCCACCGAAAAACAATCACGAAACTCCTCATCCCATTTTAAAGCACCCAAATGTTTAATAATGCTGTCATAATCTCCCTTGTGAACTTTATATGTGTGGTGTGAATTAGTTTGTAGATAACTTGCATTAATATTACATTTCAATTTAATTTCTAAAGGAGGATGGTACGGGTCGACTTTAGTTAAGGGTGATACGCAGCTCTGGACATTAACCATTGGGACATTAGATAAAATTAAATCAAGTATTTTGTTCTTGTTGTTTACTATATGATTGCACTGATCAAAATTATTAAAAGATATAAAATCAAGTAATAGTTGACTATAAAGTCCGTTATTAGCACAAGAAGCAATCATTGGCGAATCAGCAGTGCCGGTCCAATGTATACTACCAAGATTGAAATCGCCTAAAATAAGCGAGTGACTATTTTTTTCTAAAACTCCATTGGTGTTACTCAAGAAATGTTCGAGTATGTGCATTTGTAAAGGAGGTGGTAAATATATTCCGCAAATCCATAGTTGCTGAAACTTGTTATTAAATTTAATATCGATACCCACCCAAACATCCTCACATTTACTTTCATAACTATGCAATCTATATGAAGTAAGCCGTTTAGACACCGCAATTAATACTCCACCTCCCGACTTTGCACTGTGGAAGCCGCTCATTTCTCGATCTCGTCTGTAGACACAATAACGATTGTCAAATAATTCCATGTCTTTAATACTACTGGTGAGCCAGGTTTCACATATACACAATAACGTCATATTCGCTTGTTACCAAATTACGAAAAAAATTTAAAGTTTTTGTTCTTAAGCCCCTAACATTCTGGTAATAAATATTTAGTGTAGAAATAGACATCTTTTAAAATATTTAACACCATCTCGAGATAAAATACATAATAATTTATTGATAATTATATAAAATTAAGTTAGCCTTTTTATTGTGTCCATATTACGCACAAAGATTGCCACCGACGTATCCGACTTCCGTAGGTACACACGGCCACCACGTACCCACACATATTTATAACAAAGTTCCTTAGCGCTGATTCGGGCAGCGGCATGTAAAGATTTATTCACGGGTGACAGGTGTTCCGTTACATATACTGGAGTTTTGTTACCACCAATACCAAGGTCACCGCTGTTTAGTTTTTCATCTTTATGGTTCTTGTTGTACTGGTTAACAGACGCCAGTAAACAATCTCGCATTCGGGGAGTGGTAAACCTAACAAGGATGGATCGTGGACGCGTGCTGTTATTATCCTTTTTAGCCACTCGCGAACAAAAAGCAATATCATTCTCGTTAAAAGCATAATTCACAACGTTACATAGCTGCTTGATAATAGCTAAGACATTTTCAGATCGGTGCTCCGGTACGCATTGAATTTCGACATTGGAAGCTCGTGACATTTGATCCAAATCCGTGAGGCGACTGTGGAGACTATTGACTTCCGAGCGGAGCTGTTCATTTTCCTTGGACAGAGTAGTCACGTCGTGACTGCATTTTGAAATATCAGTCTTAAGGGACTCGAACTGATCATTTAAAAAATTAAGCGAGTCGTGAAAGGAGCTTATCTCTTTCCGGAGATCACTCAGGTTTGCATTTAAGGAACTGCTCAAATCACTCAAGTTTTCCCTCAGCGCACTGCGAAGTTCATCACGAATGATTTCTCTTATTTCATCGCGAGAAACATAGTCGGATGTGTACTTATTCGACGTCGCGACTGTGGTCGCGGTATCGGCTTTGCCTTGCGCCTTGCGCCGGGTCACGCCTTTAAACGTTAAGTCTGCGAGACCGGTTGGAGTCGACGGCCGCACTGGTATATTCTTATTATCATTTTTGGGTTGTTTGCTCAAGCAGCCAGGACACAGCCAATTGGACTTAAATGACTCAGTTGTTATGCTACTGTCGAAAGGCGATAAGCTCAGGCAGGTGTAGTCGTAGGCATCATTGCACTTAGTACACTGTAGATATTCTAAGTTGCTTATCTCTGAGCAGCAAGCAGCGCAATTCATTTTAAACAGTCACCGTCCAAAACACAACAAAATAATAAGTATTGTATTGTAGCTCCGTAGCGGCGGTGTCGTAGCAAGCTGTTATGACCGCTACGTTCGGCAGTAGTCCAATCACAGCTTGTTCAAGCAAGACAAAAAATTGCAACTGACTGTTCCCGCGGGGTTGAAGGCGGTTAGCGGGACGCTTCACTTTACACACGCGCACTTCGAGCAAACAGTTAACTATTAAAAAGTATAAATTTTTAACTTTAATGTTAAAGGTAGAATGCACTTTATAGTTCTTAGGTGGAAGGTTATTTTTCTATTGAATAGTTTACAATTTTGTCAATAAAAAAATGTGTGCACGTCTGCTCACTATGAAGTTTCGGACGAGAGAGGATAATATTTACTTTATTTTCGAAATAAATATATTTTTGCTGCTCTTTGCCTTACTAATATTATAATAACCATCTCTAATATTTTTTAAGAAAGCTTTTACTGTCAAAAATATGCTTTAAGCAAAATATAGTAATTTCTCCTACTACGTATTTTTTAGAAATATAGTATTTGATCCCCTATTAAAGTAGGATACTATATTTTATAGGATAGTTGACAACCCTACCTGCATCCGAGCGGCGCTGGTGAATTCAGAATCTGAATGACCTAAACATTCCGGTAAAGTATCTAACTCCGAAACCTGCCTGCGAGGGCCTGCTTAAACTACACTGTAGGGGTGCGGCCAGAGTGCACTCAGATTCAGAATCAGATTCAGATTCCGAAAACAAGCGCGAGAAATAAACAGTGTAGTCTAAGCAGGTTGCCTGCTTTTTCTCGCGCTTTGTTTTCTGAGTCTGAATCTGAATCAGGAGTGCACTCTGGCTGTACCCTTCGACTACACTGTTTATTTCTTGCGCTTGTTTTCGGAATCTGAATCTGAATCTGAGTGCACTCTGGCCGTACCCGTACCCTAAGAATCCCTCTGATGACTCCCATGCGTGAAATATGATATTTAGGAATTTGACAATTGTAATTCGATTCGAAGGGATTAGTTGCAACTAAAGAATTAGCGGAATCTGTAGAATTGAACTCTACTGAAATTTTATTGCGGCCTACAGGTGTAATCCCGCCATTAACTATTCCTTTTATTTTATATTTGTGCAGTATCTGAGTCAGTTTAAGGGTGCGGATTGTTAAACCAGAAGAAAAGTCCAGGTCTTTGCGTGATATTTGGACAGTAAAAGGGCCTATGTCATTTGCTGTATAGGTTAGTGGAGAATCTCCTTCGAATTCTGGGTTAATATGGGTATTTTGCATAGATTCAGATGGTTTGGTGTTCCTCTTAGGAGCTATGACTATATGATCTAGTTGTGATGCAGGGCGTTTTAATGTTGAGTGACCATCCATAGTTATTGGAGTAAATAATGGTTGAGATTCAGCACCTAACCGACTGGGACGGGAGTCTTGGCCCCCGCCCCCGTCAGGAGGCTCTTCATCGGACATTTAATTATGGAATTATGTTTAGTAAACACTTACCACAGTTAATGGTAGTAATAATAACCACTTACACAACAGTGGACAAAACAATACACAAAAGAACAAAAACTCAATTTGTCGATAGGAAATTCGTGATTCTACGCGAACACGTGCGTCAACCAACACCGAGAACAGCAGACCGCCCATTTTTCGTCACATCACTATAAATTCGATTCTTCGATTTCGCGCCTTTTCTTTGAATTGTTGTTTGAAAAAACACCATGTTTCAGCAAGATTGAAGTTGCAGATCGGTTTTTGCATGGGAAAACAACATAATTTTCCATTTTTGTGGGAGCTCTGACTCACGCTGCGGAACGATCCAAAATGGTAGCAGTCGCGCGGGAACTAGTTTTATTTATTGATCATGGCCGATGGCCATGTAACTTTGGCGGAGGGGTTCGCCCGTCCATGCCATCTGCAGTGGTATATGCTCTAAGGTTTCACGTTCTGGAAACGCTACGTCAGAAGACATCAGATACATGTTAACGTTACGCTACGCATTACATTAGAGCCCGTCTTATTATCGCAACACGCACGATAAATAAAGTTTTGCCTTGATTGTGATCTATCCTGTTCCTCCTCTGAGTACTAAAACCTACTCAGAGTGTCCCTCCTGTCTGTATTTGAGAGGAGTTTTTAGTGCGATTTCATCAAGCGCGGTTGGCGTATTTCATTCAAAAAGGATATTGTGAAATAAAATTGTTGCGATTTTGTGTTACAGCCATGTGATAGTGGAATTTAAAAAATATACGCAATCCCGATCAAATAAACGTGAGAAATTAACTATAGTGTTGAGTTGACTACCTCACAGAAACTTATCCAAAAAGATAACTCAATCCATTTCGTGCCGAACGCTACAAGAAACATTAGAATGCGTCACACCGACATTCTTATGTAAAAAAAGAAGATGAAGAAATTTTAAGACTGCAAGGGCATTGTTCTTTTTGCCTTCCTTGAAAAAGGAGAATATTAAAAAATATCTGAGTGATCTGTCATATTTATCACACGTGCGCGCCTGCATTGCTTTTTTCCACTATAAATATATTTTAGTTTCTATCTAATAATTTAATTTCAGTGTACAAGTCACACTACCTATAACACAATGCCTACACCAGACAAAATCTTAATGAGAAAAATTAAGAATAGAGAGAAGAAAAAACTTAAACTTATTGCACAGAAAGCTGGTAACGAAGATCAAGACCCCGCAGGTATTTCAGGACTATGTGTTGTTCTTGATATGATAAGCTTCATTTATGTACAGTGCTAATTAGTAGACATGACCTATAAATTTTATAAATAAATTTTGCTCTCATATTTCAGTTAGCCTACCATCAGAGGTTAGGAAAAGGCCTTTGGAAGAAAGTAAAGCCAATGAAAAAGCACACAAAAGTGAGTATACAACTAGGCAAGTTATTGACATGATAATTAATTTAATTGTTTTTACATGACTGCCCAAAAAATCTGTGTTTTATTGATAATATTAGACATACAGATATGATTTTGTTTTATATGTATATCATAGTCATTTTTAGCATTTTTGTTGCTGTCCTACCTTTAATATCAGCACATCTTTAACTCCAAATGGTATTAATGTGGTGGAATTGAAATTCAAAGCTAAGTTGACACAGTATTTGCTTTATATATTTTTTTAATTTGCCTGTAGAGAAGAAAAAAAAGCCGAGAGTTGAGGTAAAAGAAGAGGCTATGGAAGTAAATGCTGCGTATGACGAGAATAATGTTGAAAGTGAAGATGATAATGGAGACAATAATGAAATTGACAACAAAAACACATCTGATAACCAATGTAAGTTCACCTTTTAGCCATTCTTTTTATTTCAGTAAGGTTGTAAAATACTGTATCACTTGCATATTGTATAGCCTTAATCTATCTCCGTATACAGTGTTATATCACTTAGAAGTTCAGTAAAATATAGGTTGTTCCTCAGACATGTGCTCCAATTTGTGCAGAAAGGAGAATGGTCATTTTACTGTAGGATTTGGGCTAAATTTTTTTTTCATTGCATCTTATTCCAATAAGTGTTAAACAATAGGGAATCAGGTGTATATTGCGTAGGCATAATATCATTAGAAACTTAAGTGGTGGTTTAAAGAAAATATTAAATTACTTAAGCATTTTAAGGTTATGTCATATTTAGATTCAATTAAATTCGATATTTATACCATACTTAATTATTACTAGGTATACTACTTTACACTGTGTTTAATTAGGTGAAAAACTGAATGCACTTCGTAAAATCCTATCAACGGACAGAGTATATTCGTAAACTGTTGCGTTGGTGAGCTGCTACCTATTTTTATTTATTCCAAACATCTCAGATTCAATAAATGTGGCGTTGTTGAGGTGCAGTTATATGAGTGCTATTTAAACTTATTCTCTTTACGCTCAAGCTGCACCTTTGATGCTCTGTCAACCCAGCAATGGATATAATATTATTTAAGGTTTAGGAATCAAAAATAAAAAAGCACAATATTTTAATAATGATACTTAATTATTTATTGATAACACGTTTATCCAAATCAACATACATACACACTGCCATCATTTTCTTGTGTAACACCAGATGCCATTGTAAATAAAAATAATTGCAATAAATTAAGAGTCCAAATATCTCTGTCACAGAATCACTAAAGGGAGTCCAATTCTCTCTTTCCCAAAAAAACAGTTATTAACGGAAGATTACTCAACTCAACATTAGAACTATTCTGCCACAATAGATCACTGAAAACACAAATTCAATTCAAAAGTGAAAACTGTATGTAGTAAGTCACTCAGAAAAAACAAACACAACTAATACTGGAAATAGAAGTTGACAGCTATGTTCACTTGCTTATGGTATATTTCGATTCGATTCTATAGGAATCTATATCCTACACGATCGATTTATAAATGTTTTATTTTTCAATGCAAATGCTTTAAATGTTCAAACCATAAGTTATATATAAGATAACTGAGTACTGCATACAAAAGTTTATGTATGCGATCTATTTTGATGAACAAAATAGTCCGCAGACAAAAATTCCTCTTCTGCGCAGCCCATTAAGTTCCTTTTAGTTTTAGTATTTAGATGCAATGAAAGAGGGCAATCCCTGGTACAGTGAGATAGTCACAACACAGGTCTTACACATGATAACTAAAAAAAAATGTTATTTATCATGATATAATATTGGTAAAAATGCTCGTATCCATCATACAAACATTTGCCTCACCGGAATTTGAATCCAGGCCCTCTGAATAGGCGATTTGGGGAAAATAAATCCATCCACCCATCCATACAAAAATCAAACAACTCGCATTGAAGACCACAAAGTAAAAAATGACTATGAAATAACGAATGATCAGTATTTCATAGTCATTTACGGTGGTTGGTAAAAACGTTTCAGACTATTTACAATTGTTCTATGCCTCCAATTATGTATATAATAAAACGTTTTGTTTATTCCTTTTGAAGTTAAACTTCTTTACGTGCACATTTTCTTACTCTCTTCCTCTCATAGCCAAATACACTCCATATATCTAAGTACAGTGCAGGCCTATTGTCTGTATCACAGTGTAGGAGCAAGAGAGGGCAGTGCGCGCGCACATTTTCTTTCTCTCTTTCTCTTACATCTAGAATATGAAAGAAGTTTCACTTCAGTTGTGTGGTCATAAACACACTCGTTTTTTTTGTTTAGAATATATAAATAAAGAAATATAATCAATTTTTTGTCCTACAATAGTATCGACTAGGTGATACAACTTTTGTCTATGATTATATGGTCTATTCTGTGGTTGAATTTTTATTCAGATTAATAGCCATTTATTTATTATTTTAAAAATCCGCTTAATATTTAAATAATAATCACACATATGAAATTATAATTCACGAGAAGATTTTTGATACATAAATGCGTCAAGCGCAATCTAGACAGATTTGCCCATTCTCCTTTGCTGCCTGCTATCTTGTTTCATTTATAATCAAATTTCAGTGACACAAGTTTATTGTAGTGTTAGTAGATAAAAATACCATAAATAATATTTGAAATATGGTTCTAAAAATTTTTAGTAAGATTTAATTTAAGAACATAATTATGTTCTTTAACGCTTCCTAACGCAAATACAATCTTATCAAAACACCAAAACAAAAAGAACCTAAGTCTTTAAATAATATTTAGAAATCTAATTACAATTTCATTAACTTGTTTTAATATTATTTTAAGAGCTAAATATTTTTTGTTCTCTAGTGCCTGGTTCAAGTCTGTGCCTCGGAATTCTGTCAGATCAAAAATTTTCTGCTTTGGAAGGAACTGTTTGTGAGCCTACTCTGATGGGCATCAAAGACATGGGTTTTACTACAATGACAGAAATTCAAGCTAAGGCTATACCACCATTGTTGGAAGGTCGAGATTTGGTTGGTGCAGCTAAAACTGGCTCGGGAAAGACTCTTGCCTTCCTTATACCTGCTATTGAACTGATATATAAATTAAAATTTAAGCCAAGGAATGGTAAGATTTACAATGTTTTTTCTACTTTTATCATTATTAATTTTCTATTGATGAAATGATGACAAAAGGCGAATGTGAAAACATGGCTCAATATATCCATGAAGTGCATTATTTAGAATTTGCAGTGAGTTGAGTCTCCAGTTCGCTGTTGAGGCATGCTTGATGCTTATTTTAAATTTGCACATTCGGATTATGTATGGAACTGTTTCATGAACACAGAATGGATATCTGATTAAACTAATATTTGATGCCTATACTTTTGCTATTGTAATTTGTATTTTGAAAGTCTTCAATAATTTTAGGAACTGGTGTTATTATTCTGTCTCCAACAAGGGAATTGTCAATGCAAACATTTGGAGTTTTAATGGAATTGATGAAACATCATCATCACACCTATGGTCTTGTGATGGGTGGTGCTAATAGAAGCACAGAGGCCCAAAAGCTGTCAAAAGGTAGGTAATCTCTTTACCCTATCGTAATTAAGGTTATATAGGTAAGTGGGGGCAGATAGGTATAGAGATGGAGAATATCACTATGCCACTGCATAGGCAGCACAAAATACCTCACTTTACCTATGTCTTTCTGTCTTGAGAGCCGCTTACCTTCATTTGGCTAGGTTATATGCATTTTTGCCACCTTTCATTTACACAAAAATATTTAGAAGGCCCCAAAGTGTAATTAATAATTATGTAATACATCAAAATTAAAAATGTCAAGTTTTTATTATTATGTAAATTGTCTTCTGTCCTAATCATATTCATTTATAGATTTTTTAGTGGCATGTAGAACATAGGATTTAAAAACGACAATTTACCTAATGTACAAAACTTTAATTTGCCATTTTTTTTGACGACCTCCGTGGCCGAGTGGTTTGTACGCCGGGTTTCATGGTGTCGCCGACTCGAGAGGTCTCGGGTTCGAATCCCAGTGGGGGCAGATGTTTGTGTGATGAATACGAGCATTTGTACTCCAGTCATGGATGTTTAATATCTATTTCTATATAAATATACTTATATGTGTACAGTATATGTATTCTATCCGTTACCCTAGCATCCCATAACACAAGCCTTATAGTGCTTACTTTGGGGCTAGGCTAATTGGTGTGAGTGTTGGAAATATTTATTTATTATTATTTATTTATAATTATATAGGTGCTGATTAATGGCAGGTTTTAGGATACAATTTGATTAAATTATTTGGAGATAAGGAACAAAAAGTGTCATTTACAGGTTTGAACTTTTTGAGTTAATTGAGAAAATAAATATTCAAGTTCTAAGCAATTTTTATATTTTTTTATTAACCATATAAGTGTCAATTATTGTATAAAATTTAATGTACTATGGTTCTCTTGCTGGTTTTGAAACTTGGAAAAAAATACATATCTGATGACACCCTTTGATCCAATAGCTTGTAAATGTCACTATTTCATTGAATAATTTTGTAAAATGTCACCTTTTAAAACTCACTGTTTAAAAAATGTTACCTACCTTGTGAAACATTCAGTATGAAAATAAAAAAAGATTCAAACAAACCATTTTTATGTCTTATACATGTTATTCTCCACAATCAAGTTCCCAGTTTGAACTGACTAAAGACTCTTCAAACATATTTCTTAAGAATATGTCATTGTCACTTTTTGAATTTAAGTCTTTATAATCACTGATTGAAAAAATGTTACTTTTTGTTCCGGAAGCGGCAGTTCACATATTTTTTTTCTATGAACAATATCTTGGGAGTTACAGTAGTATTTAATATTTTGAGCTGATTTAAATAAAAAAGTCGAATGGAGCATAATACGTAAATGACACTTTTTGTTCCTAACCTCCTCATTTATATTTATTTGTTTTCACCAGGTATCAACATATTGGTTGCAACCCCTGGAAGGCTCTTAGATCATCTTCAAAATACACCAGATTTTCTGTATAAAAATCTTCAATGCTTGGTTATTGATGAAGCTGACAGGATCCTTGAAATTGGTTTTGAAGAAGAGGTCAAACAAATAATTAAATTGTTGCCAAGTAAGTGTACTTCCATTAACATCTTAAAATAATTTTAATAAAAAGTTATCATAGAATCCTTTTTACAGAACATCGTCAAACAATGATGTTCAGTGCCACACAAACAAAAAAAATTGAAGCACTCACAGCTTTGGCAGTAAAACATGAACCAATTTATGTTGGAGTTGATGACCATAAAGAGCAAGCAACTGTAGAGTCATTAGAACAAGGGTATGTTTACATTAAACAAATCTTTAAACTGACAGTAAAAACTATATATATATATATATATATATATGTATGTATATTAAATATCTGCAATTCTTATTCTTTATTTCAAATATTTTGAACTCCAATGTTAACAAAAGTAAATACTTTTCAATCTGCTCATTTAATTGATCTATTTATTTTGGTAAGGCTCTATCAATTTCTATGACTAATCAGTTTGTGGTCAGATTCGATTGATCTGACTAAAACCAATTTGAAAAATAAGTCATTAGTATAAAATTGGATTTTTTCTAAATGTGGGTTTGCCCAGATAAGTTTAAACTGACCAATGACATACCATACTTTTGGCTTAAATATTTAATTGAAGAGCTGTTGAGCATTCAACCTTCATCTGCACAACTTCCTCCCTCCATCCTTTATTTCCATACTAAAATTAATCTTAGTTATTTGGGATTTTGTGTGAAAGCATAACAGTTATCAAGTCAAACAGTCAAACAATCAAGAGTAAAATATAGCCAGCTATAGTCTTGATTTGAGCCAAAAGTATGCTATGTCATTGGTCACTTTAAACTTATCTGGGCAAACCCACATGCAAATGATAAATTGCTTTAAATTTTTTCATGGTTGATGGTTACTAATTAATATTACAAATACGTATTAACTGTTATGCTTTCACACAAAATCCCAAATAATTAAGATTAATTTTAGTATGGAAATAAAGGATGGAGGGAGGAAGTTGTGCAGATGAAGGTTGAATGCTCAACAGCTCTTCAATTAAATATTTGTTATGGTCGTAAAGTACAAGTACTAAAAAATCTAATTGCAATGTGTTTTCAGATATATTGTGTGTCCATCAGAAAAACGCATGATGGTGTTGTTCACATTTTTAAAGAAGAACAGGAAGAAGAAAGTTATGGTGTTCTTTTCGACCTGCATGTCTGTTAAATACCATCATGAGCTTTTCAACTACATTGATTTACCTGTTATGTCCATACATGTGAGTATTCTAGTTTGATTGTAAAATTTTATACATTTAGTTAAGTACTGAAACTTTCTAATAATGCCAGAGATTGCACCACAAGAATCAATTAAAATGGAGCTTTCTAAAAAGCTTTATATCAAATAAATAAAACTAGTTTTTAGGGGGTTAATGCACGAAACTTTATTTATTTATTGACGTTTCGCAGCCTTTTCAGCTGAGCGGCGGTTCGTTCCTCGAATGATGCGCGAGGCTATTGAGATTATAAAATATCCAAATTTCAATAGGGAAGATGGTTGGTATATACCACCAGCTTGGGAACCTATTATACAGGAGATAAAATCCCAACCCCGAGCACACACTGCAAGACCATCAGATACTATTAGTTCTTTTTGTTTGCATAATTTAACATAAGAAGGAGATAGAAAGCCTCTCTTGAGTTTGTTTCGCCGGTTCTTCTCAGGAAGGTCTCCCAATTTTGGAACCGGTGGTAGTTTACGGTAGTTAGGGTCAAATAAATAAACTCAAAATTACAAACAAGAATTTTAAATAAAATACTTTATTAAGTAAATTAAATAATAAATTCATACATAGACAATAAAAATTTTAAAAATCTTCCAATGAAATAACCGAATGCTCAATATAAGTCTTTCGAAGGTAGCTCGACAATTTTAAATAAAAAATCATTATTCTGACGATGCAGACCTGAAAAGGCTGCGAAACGTCAATAAATAAATAAAGTTTCGTGCATTAACCCGTAAAAACTAGTTTTATTTAATGAGTGATGTGCGTGAAAACCTAAGAAACAAATAAGCTTTATATCAATATTGTTTGTTTAATTAACAGGGCAAGCAGCAACAGACTAAACGAACTACAACTTTCTTCCAATTCTGCAACGCTGAATCAGGGATTTTATTATGCACAGATGTCGCTGCAAGAGGTCTTGACATTCCAGCTGTCGATTGGATAGTGCAATATGATCCGCCTGATGACCCCAAGGTTAGTTCCTGTGTTTAAGTAACCGAAATTGATAAAAACGTGTTTATTGTCTTTCATCTTAATTACCGCTTGCATTTAATTTTATGGTACGGGACTTTTGTAGGCATTATTTATTATTTATGTTAAAAGATAGATACTTGCCTGAGTATTTAGGGCGGCTAACGAAATTTTGTATAGTAAGAACTACTAACTGAAAAAGTGATTGCCTTGTTGAAGTATAATAAATCTGTCTCTTGATTAAAAATATTAGAATTGATGGCGGCCATCCAACATAATAAAATAAAAATAAAAGCCTTTTATTTCCTTGGTACAATTTGACAAAAAAAAATACATTTACTTTCTAAATTACTTAATATCTATCTTATTTACTGTCTAATATTGCTTATTTAAAATTTATTAACTAATATATTATAACTACCTAATATATTAAGACAAAGGTTACTTAATTACTAGTGAATAACCGTAAGGAACCCCTCTCAGGTAAAGGCCTCTTCCAAAGATAGCCACTTTTCCCTGTCTTGAGCTATACTCTGCCATTGTGGGCCAGTCACTCGTTTTATGTCATTGGCCCAACGTGCGTGCGTCTTCCCTTGCGTCGTTTGCCCTGAGGGCCTTTCCACTTGGTAACTGTTATGGTCCACCGCTGGTCTTTAAGTCCGGCTACGTGCCCAGCCCACTTCCATTTGAATTTTTGAGCATGAGCAAGAGCGTCTAAAGCTTTTGTCTGTGTGTTATGTTTTATCTTATGTTTGCATGTCTTAATTTTGAATTTTCAAAGTTCAGCATTGTGCGATCCATTCCCCTCTGGCACGTAGTTATTTTGTTCTTTACAATATTGTTAAATTTCCAGGTTTGGCACGCGTAAGGGCGCTTTCAATTTATGCGCAGCAGGCCGTCAAGAAACGCATAAATTGAAAGCGCCCAAGTCAAGCATGTAATAAGACAGGTGTCCATAACTTTATTTTTTAACTCTATTGGCATCTCGCTTTTAAACACTTTTTTGTAGCTCCAAAATTTTTTCCATGTATTTTTACTCTCCTTTCAACTTCTAAAATATTGTTGTCACTGTTAAATGCAACTTGTTTCCCTAAATATATGTAACTTTCTATGTATTCAAGGTTTTCATTATCTATTTTTATAATCGTTTTCTTGTGATTTGTCATGGTTTTTGTTTTCGATATGTTTATTTCGAGTTCCACGCAACGGCTGGCTTTACTGAGATCAGTGATCATGCATTGTAGCTGGGAGCTAGTTTCTGACAATAGAACTATTATCTGCGAATCGTAGATGACTTAGATATTGGATAAATACGCCATCTTTCTTCCAGTCGAGTTTTATTATGATGCTTTCTAGAACCGCAATAAAAAGTTTTGGTGATATGGGGTCACCTTGTCTTACCCCCTTTCTACTGCGAAACTTGGTCCGATGGATTCTAGCTTGACTTTGCTAGTGCATTTGTTATAAATGTTTATTAAAATCTCAATGTAATGCGACTCTACGTCCTGGGCTTTCAAAGTTTCCCATATAATTGTGTGAGAGATTATGTCGAAGGCTTTTTGGTAGTCGATGAATGCTACGTACAATGGTCTTTGGTATTCTTGACTTGGCCATCCAACATATCAAGTAGATAAATAGGTTAATTTGACTAATAGTAAAATCAGCTTTGACGACCTCCGTGGCCGAGTAGTTTGTACGCCGGGTTTCATGGTGTCGCCAACTCGAGAGGTTCGAATCCCGGGGGGGCATATGTTTATGTGATGAACATGAGCATTTGTACTCCAGTCATGGATGTTTAATATGTATTTATATATAAATATATACTTATGTACTGTATATTACCGTATTCTATCCGTTACCCTAGCATCCCATAACACAAGCCTTACAGTGCTTGCTTTGGGGCTAGGCTAATTGGTGTGAGTGATGGAAATATTTATTTAATTATATATTAGTTTATTTAACAACATTTTATTATTATTCTAGGAATACATACACAGAGTCGGCAGAACAGCTCGAGGTCTCGGCACAAGTGGTCACGCTTTGCTTTTCCTACGCCCTGAAGAGCTAGGATTCTTAAGATACTTGAAGCAGTCCAAAGTGACCCTCAACGAATTTGAGTTCTCTTGGAACAAAGTTGCCGATATACAACTACAGGTAAGCAAATCATAGTTTCAAACAGTAAAGACTACGGTCCCAGTTCTTCGAAGAATGGCGATAGTTGATTATTTTTCCTCCTGGTTACTTACTTGTAATTATGAATCCTGCACATGATTTTGGTTATTGTTACAGCTTGAAAAACTAATATCAAGGAATTATTTCCTCAACCAGTCTGCAAAGGAAGCATTCAAGAGCTACTTGCGAGCCTACGACTCTCACCATCTCAAAACTATATTCGATATTGATACTATAGACATGGCGAAGGTTTCTAAATCTTTCGGATTCACAGTACCACCTGCGGTTGAATTGAAAGTTGCTAATAAAGGTCCGCCAACGAAAAGAAAAGGCGGTGGCGGTTATGGTTATTTTAAGTCTCTGAACGCACCAACCAGCCACAAGAATAAGGCTGAGAAAACGAAAATGTATAGACAGAAAGGTGGCAACAGGAAACAACAAAATTAATTTATTCAATAAGGAATAAAACCATATATTTTAACAAAATAGTTTTATTTACAAACTCGCATCACAACATGACAATTGTATTACTTTGTTGGCTATTCTTGATAATGGGTTGATTGATAATGGTGACAATTTGATGCAATTAATTTTTCTTATCTAATTATTGTTTCAGCTACAAAAACAGTATTTCGCGAATATGTAAATAGCATTGATAAGAACTGCGCTTTAAATTGTACTAATGCTCAAAATCTTCATTCTGCAGTTGTTCAGTATTGATTATTTGGTTTTCTTTGATACTGTAGGTTATTGGGTTAAAAAATTATCTCGCGAGGTTAAAGTATGAACTTAAAATTAATGAAGTTTATAATTGACAGAACTGTCTGGACTAGAATTTTTAACGACGAAAACATTTAATTTTATTAAATACTAGTGGCCCGTCCTCGCTTCGCTTCGGTGTAGAGCTGTAGTGTAGGTAGACTATAGTTTTTGTTCTTAGGCTTGTATTAAACACAATGAATTACCTTTTATATAATTATGTTTCTCACCTTTTAAACCTTCCCTAGACCTCCACGAACATTTCAAGACCAAGATAGTGAGACTAACGAACAGCAATTGATTTTTATATATATAGATTAAAATTAGAGTACTAAGACATAAAAGCGAATTGTTTACATACACCTAATTTAAGCGGTACATTCACTTTTGAGACGCAAGTGCCGTATCTTCCATTTTTTTTATCTAATCTAAGGATTTATATAATCAGGTTATGTTACTAAATTTGGTAGATGTGCTTCTTGCATACTGCATAGTTTGCAGAAAAACTTCATGCAAATGTACCTACTAATACAAACTAAACTACTGACAGGTAAATAATTAAACAGACATGCACTTACCATCACTTGAACAGTAGTAATAACAACAAATATGTTTTTTAGAAAAGGATACTAAAATCAACATGAGGTTGTTCAAGGAAACCAAAAGCTTTGGCTGCTAATTTCAAATCTAATGATTTGATATTGAATATTTTCTTCAAAGGATGGGACTTGTAGCATCTCAAGTACGACAAATAAGCTTTGCGCGCTGATGTTTTTAGAACACCATTATTTGATATTAAATCTTCTAGCTGCAAAATGAAATGAACTTTGTATCAGGGATTACTTATACCAAACTGGACTTGGCGGTCGGTATCTCTGATCAATGTAGAACATATTCTATATTGACTGACTAAAGTTAAAATAGTTACGGTGCCTTGGTAGTTTCTGCTTTTCTAAGGCCGTATACAGAAAGAAAGCCGATCAGCGCTGATCCTTACTACATAAAGTAAGCCGATTAAAGCAGAGCAAGCAAAATGTCGGACTCAGCGGACGATGATTTGGTTTTGTTAGAAAATTTGTATTTAAAAATGCGAAAAAAGCTATACGTCCTATAAATAGAGAAAGGAAACGTTTCGGAGATTACCATCATTTATTTGTAAAAATTTGATGATCATAGATTTTAAACATATACAAGAATGACTCAAGAAACATTTTATTACATGTTTGATTTAATGAAAAATTGGTGTAATTGGCATAAACAACCAATCATTTCAGAAGAAAGACTTGTTGTCACATGTACGAAACAAATAATTTTAGCGCTTAGTTAATAAAAGACAAAGTTATTAGATTTATAAAAAAAATATAACTTAGATTGATATAATCTAAGGATAATAATTCAAATACAAATCATTTATTATTCGGACAACATAGATCATAATGACCAGCTGACCAGCGCGTGTCGGCATTTGTCGGCGCTGGTCCATAGAAAAAGGATCAGCGTCGATAAGCGCTGATCGGCTTTCGGCTTTCTTTCTGTATACGGCCTAAGAAAAATGCATATTTATTTGCCTTGATGCCAGAGTTGACGTTATAGGCATATATGTTCTATATGACATATCCTGCTACTTAGGCTTAATTTATACCACCGCGGAATGGAACGGAACGGAAGCGCGAATAGGCGCGCAAATTCGCTTCCACAGACGGCACCGACAGTCAGGCGCTTTGCAGACGACGGGGCGGAGCGGGCCGGTCAATTTCGCCGCGAATAATAGCACAAAGTGAATCCTATACTTCAAACGCACACAGAGGGCAAAAAGACCGCGCCGCAGGTGCCCGGCGGGCAGTGGCGGCGCGGCATGTCCGCGGCTGCCCGCCGTGGATCATACAAACCAGTTTATATGCAGTAATGCACACGGCGGCGCGGGGCGGTCAGCTCAGTCCGCGCCACGCGCTTGTAGAACGAACGTTCTGAACTGACCGCCTCTGCCCGTCGTGTGCATTGTGTACGCGGCGCGGGCAGACGCGGTCTTTATTGCTTCGCGGACAAAATGCCCGCCCCGCCCCGTCGTCTGCTCAACGCCTCATACGGAGAATGCGGCGAGGATTCCGCGGAACACGCGAAACCATTTTTTTTGCTCGTATTTACTTAGTATGTTATAACAATTGACATAAAGTTCATTATGTCGTTGCACCAATTAACTTTCATTCCATTCCGCGGCGGTATAATTAGCCTTAGGGTCAATTTATACTAGCGCAGAGTCGAAGCACATCGAAGCGTTAAATTCTTCACAACTATAGCGTCGTTGTACGAATACGCGTGTATTCTCGCGAATACGCTTTTATCGTGTGTTAAATGTTTGTCATTGATCTTGCTATGATATTACTTAAAACAGAATTTGAAAAAGAAGACAGAAGAAAATGAAAGCGAAATTATAGTGTTCATAAATTGTGGAAGAAAAGACGTGTGTGTGGTAAATTCACTACTTTTTGCGTTGATTTATATCGGTACTCGAGTAATTTTTACGACTATTATAAAATGGACTACGATAAATTTACAAACTTAGTCAATGTTTTGAGGCCACACATTGAGAAACAAGAAACAAATATGACGATACCCATTTCCGTTAAAGAGCTATCGATCTGCTTAAGGCGAGTTTTATGCTTTCTTACGATTGTAGCACTTCAAATAACCTATGCACAAAAAGGTATAAACATTTCTTGATTGTACAACGTAAATTATATTGTTATCTCTAAGAAAAAATAGCATAATAAAGCAATTTTGTATTGAAAGAGTTTTTCAATAACCGTTTTATCTGTTATTTTTTATAATCTAAAATAATTATTCACCATAATTAGTAAAGTAAGTAATTACTATCAGTCATAAGTAAGCTCTTCGAATTCGATTGCCGAGACGAAAGTTGTGTTTTCCTAGTACAAATTTAAAATTTTATTAAAAAAAATCTAACTCCTACTATCAGTTTCAAAGCACTGGCTCATACTTTTCGAATTGGCTATGCTACAGTTTGGATAATTGTACACGAAAGGACATTGGGCAAAAATGTATGGCCGCTGCACCCACGTCCGCCACGGCTTAAACTACATTTGTTTGAAAGGTATTATAGTCATGATCATCTGTGCCAAAGCGTATCGAATTCCATCCCGGGGGTCTTTAGTTATTTTAAGTTAAATAGGTACAAGTACTATAACGAACAATGATAAATAAAGCAAGGGAATTAATCTATTTAGTTAGTTCGACCTTACATAGGGGCTCGGGTATTATGGGAGTACTTCACAAGGTGCAAGGGTGCCACCTTATGTTATTCTGCTGCGCTAGAGCAAATCCAAAAATCCTCGTATGGGTTGGGGTTTTTTCAAACATTCTGTTCGTTATAGTTAATTGTCTTCTGTGTAAAACGGCGACCACAAATCACACAAACTTGTCCATGCTTCGGAGAAAACATGATTCCAGTTCATTCATACTAATTGACAAAACCAATAATCATGTTCCAATGTCCCAAGCGTGTTAGACAAAAATCAATCAAGTGACACAGGGAGCGCACAATCACAACGAAGTAAGATGAGTATTCGCTACTGCAAGTCCTTCAACCCCCGTAAACCGTTTTGAGGTGTCTCAGAAGTGCAAGCGCAGGATGGTCGGCAGGCTTTGTTGTATATCTGGTTGTATAGTACGATAATATTAGTAATAATAATAATATGCCATATTATTATTACTAATATCATAAGGAAGGTACTATAAAATGAATTTATTTAGCTACTTAAATATGCCCATGTGTCATAATCTTTTGACTCCCAGGATATTTTTTTACGGTGCCATAATAAAAAAGGCTAGTTTTTCATAAATCTATCGATTCATATTAATTACATTGTTGGCGTAGCTGGGTGTGTTTTGCCCATTGTCCTTTGTGCCGCAATTTGGAAATTTTTACGCCCTATAGTAATGGCAAAACCAACGACAGGGTCATGGGTTAAAATTGAGGATGAATTTAGGTTTATGTTATGGAATTTTCCTAATGGTAGAGGAGCAAAGGCGCCCTGGAACAGTGGAAGTCTCTACTACAATTATAAAAAGTTTTTCAGCAGTGTATTGTTAGCAACGGGACTTAAGCAACTTTCGCAGTGGTCGGTCATTGGATGGGTGACCAAAAATTGCTATCTCGAGCTCCTCCGTGCTTCGGAAGGCACGTTAAGCCGTTGGTCCCGGCCGCATCTGCAGTCGTTAGCACCCATCAATCCGCACTGGGCCCGCGTGGTGGGTCATGGCCCAATCTCCCTATTCCATCAATAGGGAAGGCCTGTGCCTCAGCAGTGAGGACATTAATAGGCTGGTGATGATGATGATGATGCTTTTCTGGTTTTATTTACGTATTTTTGCTATTTTTACCTCAAACTAAAAATGTACCCTCTGCTACCATAACTGTTATTTGGTCAATGTTTTGCCAATTTAATAGCAAGTGTTATACCTTTTTGAATAGCTAAAGAGACGTAGAAGTTTTTAAAATTATTTGCAGAATAAGTTCCATACATTTTTTTTTAGAAAAGTGCTTCAAAGTTAAGAACACTTGGTGAAAATTCTTTAGTTATAACCGTTATCGAGCAGTTTTTTTAAGCCGTTAGAAGTAAGTTCAGTTTTTATTCATTACTAGCTGACCCGGCGAACTTCGTACCGCCTTAGTGTAGCTTTGATGCACTACTTTATTTTGTATAGCTGACCTATCTTATGTATGAGTACCTATTCAATTTGAACTGGAATCTATAATATCCTCCATATAAAAATGAATCCTTATTTCCCTGGTCACGCCATACCTGAGGACTTGACTATTTTTTATTAAATAAAAAAATTATAAAAAAATTAAAAATTAAAAAAAAAAAATCCGTAAGAACCTTGTACAGAGTATTAGAAAACTACAAAAAAAAATCAGCCAAATCGGTCAAGCCGTTTTCATGTTATGTCGTGACAACGGAAAACGGGTTTCATTTTTATATATATAGATCTTTATTGCTTGACATGTCTTCTAACTAGATTCATTAAAAAATCGGACCTTTGGAGCTCTAGTTTCAAAAAAATATAGGATTTTTTTAAAAAATCTTTAATATCCAATATCTCCATAACGGTTAAGTTTCGAACACCATATTATAGGACCAAATCCATCAGAAATGACCTGAATAATAACGTTCTTTAATATTCAGTACGACTTTCCCTGTAACCCTGTATATATCACTGAACATATATTTAATATCGAAAGAATTACCATTAACTTTATCGCCGTAATTATCGCTGCTATAAACAATTGACACCACATTCACTTTTCACTGCACTTCATACTTGACGAAAACATGTAAATGTATTATTGTATAGCAGCTGTCCACGCGGACGCATCGCTCACTCAAGTTAGAGAGAGACAGATGTCGAATGCTGCCGAACGGGGAGGCCGATTGTGCCTCTTTGTCGCTCATTGCGCGCTCTCGCTTGCACTTCAAGCCTTAAATGGAATGCCTCAGAGCGAGGTAACGCCGTATGAGTCATGTTTTTTCGTGCGTGCAGCCGGCTCCATCGAATTATAAAACGTTGTCATGTCGAAAGGGAAGATATGGCACTCGCGGCTAAAAAGTGATCCGCTTAAATTGTGGTGCACGATCACAATTCGCTGTAGTCACAATTGGATATTCAACAAATACGCTGCATGTACACTCAATAATATTGCGTATATTCTGTGTTATAAAGATAAATCAATGCCATCGATGCTTTTATAACGAACACAAATAGTTCAAAATCAAATAACAAATGCCTCAGCAACACTTCTCATTCGTAAAACTGTAAAATCATCTCACAAATCACGGTTTGTCGTGCATGTTATTTACGTAATCGCCATTTTGTTATCACGAAAAGGACAACAATACAGCTCAGCCATTCGCACTCGGAAGCTGATTCGCCGTTTCGCTCGCTCTGCGTTAAAGCGTACAGTTCTGTCTCGCTCGCTCGATTGAATGTTATTTACTGACGTGTGAGAGTTGCTTATGTAGTTGAGACGGATCATATTTTATTTGATGCTAGTATGAGCGTACCGTATCTTCCCTTTTTGTTTTAATCGCAGTTTTCACTATAATATTCAGCCTTCGGAATAAATAGGCATTCATATTTTTGCACCAGGTAAAATAATTTCTGGTCCGAATCCATCGTGACGAACACCGGCGCAGTAAATTTTCCGTCTGATGAATCTTATGTTCGTTAGTGAGTGCGCGGATTCGTGAGAATGCGTATAAATTGACCCTTACTACAACTAATACAAACAGTTTTTTTTTTCAATTTTGCGCTCCTTGACACTTTGCGCAACGAGACACGGTATTCTAATTTCTTTAGTACCTAAATAATATACCATTTCTTTTATAATAAATACTCAAATCAAGGTGAAATTACAATTTAGTTATTGTATGCGAATTTCATATCTAGGTACTTACCTATCTACCAAATGATTTATCGCAAATCATCTCTGACCTCTTGATTACTTCCTGTTTGTAGATTATGATGATCTTTAAATTATCTATTAATCCCTTCATTAACATCGTATTGCTTGCATGTGATAAGCAAAAATAACAATTAATAACATACCATCATTTGTACTTCTCCAGGTGGATTATCAAAGCTGTATTTGTCCAAATACACCTTTTCTCTTTTGAGAAATTCTACAAACTGTTCTTCTTCGGGTCTCAAGAGTATAACGGCATTGCCATTTGTATTAAATCCTCTTGCTGTCCTGCCTACCCTGTGGATGTATTCCTGTAAACACCAGTAAAATGACGTATTTATTTTGAATTAATAAGTAAAATGAACAGATTTATTGAATCACTTACCTTTGGGTCTGTGGGAGGATCATACTGTATAATCCAGTCTACACTAGGTATATCTAGCCCTCGTGCAGCGACATCTGTACAGAACAATACACCACTTTCAGCTTCGACAAAAATTTGGTACGCTTCTTTTCTTTTTGATTGGCTTAGTCGACCCTGTTCAAAAGGTTACGTACAGTCAGTAATAGTTTGGCTATAAAAAGATGACACTGGAACTCATCTGAATGCAATTCATTTTCCGAATATGCTCTAGTTTCTAAACTTACTATGCTATACTATGCGCGGACCAAAATAGCCTAATGGAGCACCACAATTTTCTTAGTTTGCACTTAATTCTCTGGACGAATAAAGCGCATTGTAACGTGTTAAAAACGTCACATGGATCTCCCTCGCTCGAAGAGCGAGATAGAAGATTTTTTTTGGTTGTCTCTCTGGTCGTTTTTATCTCGCGCCCATTTTCTGTAATCTGTCCACTTTTGAATAATTATGTTGCTAACTTTATCAAGCAGTAGGCTGAATGGACGTTGTTCTCTTTGCCTACCGGCAAGAGAAAACAAACTTAAGAAAAAACTGTCACTTCACTTCACGACGTAATTTTTAGACCAAAGGATGGTCATTTCATATCCCATTTTTTTTAATGGATAATCCCTTATATTATTGATTGTTTTTAATGATGAAACATTTTACATCATTCATACAAAATGGCGATGAACATACTTTAAACTTAATTTGATTGAAAAAACGGTAAGAACCTTAGAGATTTCCTTAGATTTACATTTTTTCCTTTGTTGTGAGCCATGTGCTAATCTGAGGAATGTTGTTTTCAGCGAAAAGCGTTTTTTTTATATGGATTTTTCATTTGGATATCTTATTCAAATTACGATGTTTCCCGTGATGTGGAGGTGAACCCACGGGACCTAAAAACGGCCATCCCTTAAACATTTGCAACACCAGACATATACACTTCCCAGATCAGATGCAGCAAAGTTGGTAATGTCCAAATTCATTGTCGTACCCGAACCCTAATATAAGGTAAATTTACATTTTATTTTTGGTAGCATCTCAGCCTTAGTTTCAAAATTTAGATTTAACCCTTTTGGACTTAAAATTTGAATAAAATTGACAACCCAAAATGAACATGGATTTGCGTTAAACTCCCTTGCTATTAATAGTCCAATGTTCTCCCGGCTAATCATATGGTTTTTTATTTTTTATTTTTTAATATTACAATTTTCATGTCCCTGTTCGGGCGCCAATTGTAATATTAAAAAATAAAAAAATTTGAGATGGACAGGCCGAAATCAATTAAAAAAGAATATTCGGGCGCCTGAACTGTACCATATGATTAGCCGGGAGAACATTGGACTATTAATAGCAAGGGAGTTTAACGCAAATCCATGTTCATTTTGGGTTGTCAATTTTATTCAAATTTTAAGTCCAAAAGGGTTAAATCTAAATTTTGAAACTAAGGCTGAGATGCTACCAAAAATAAAATGTAAATTTACCTTATATTAGGGTTCGGGTACGACAATGAATTTGGACATTACCAACTTTGCTGCATCTGATCTGGGAAGTGTATATGTCTGGTGTTGCAAATGTTTAAGGGATGGCCGTTTTTAGGTCCCGTGGGTTCACCTCCACATCACGGGAAACATCGTAATTTGAATAAGATATCCAAATGAAAAATCCATATAAAAAAAAACGCTTTTCGCTGAAAACAACATTCCTCAGATTAGCACATGGCTCACAACAAAGGAAAAAATGTAAATCTAAGGAAATCTCTAAGGTTCTTACCGTTTTTTCAATCAAATTAAGTTTAAAGTATGTTCATCGCCATTTTGTATGAATGATGTAAAATGTTTCATCATTAAAAACAATCAATAATATAAGGGATTATCCATTAAAAAAATGGGATATGAAATGACCATCCTTTGGTCTAAAAATTACGTCGTGAAGTGAAGTGACAGTTTTTTCTTAAGTTTGTTTTCTCTTGCCGGTAGACAAAGAGAACAACGTCCATTCAGCCTACTGCTTGATAAAGTTAGCAACATAATTATTCAAAAGTGGACAGATTACAGAAAATGGGCGCGAGATAAAAACGACCAGAGAGACCACCAAAAAAAATCTTCTATCTCGCTCTTCGAGCGAAGGAGATCCATGTGACGTTTTTAACACGTTACAGCATATTTGAAGAAAATTTAAGAATTCCTCCTTTTAATGAGTGACATGAAATTATATCTAAAACAGCTCAGGCTGTACCGTCATACTTACATGTATACTTATTACAGGGGCTTTACAATGCGTTTTAAAAAAATCATAGTGAAAATCTACAGATTTGCAAGAAGAAAAAAACACCATTGTTTTTAACTTCTTAACCTTTTTAAGCATTTTGTATAACCACGGCACCCTTTCTTCCACAGGGCAAATGTAATACCTGCAAGTAAACATAAAATATAAACTCTTGGAGCACAAAACCTAAATACTTATATTTATTAAGTAATAATGTCTTTATAATAAGTTATTATAAAGATAACTGTAAAGATACATATAACTGTGTAGTACTGATTAAACGGATAATAGTGAAATTATTTATGTTATGAATACTAATGAGATCAACTCTTAATGTGAAACTAAAATATCTTCCTCAACTTTAATCTCTCATACTGATTAAGCAATTTGAACATAAACCTATTAGGGTTTTACACTATTTTTTTAAGAATTTAATTATGATGTTATTAATTATGGTTAATATATTATTATTATTTTTTTTTTGAGGAGCTCGATGGCGCAAGTGGTTAGCGCGTTCCGCAGCGATCGTTGAATTTAAGCAACTTTCGCAGTGGTCGGTCATTGGATGGGTGACCGAAAATTTACTATCTCGAGCTCCTTCGTGCTTCGGAAGGCACGTTAAGCCGTTGGTCCCGGCTGCATCTGCAGTCGTTAGCACCCACCAACCCGCACTGGGCCCGCGTGGTGGGTCATGGCCCAATCTCCCTATTCCATCCATAGGGAAGCCTGTGCCCCAGCAGTGGGGACATTAATAGGCTGATGATGATGATGATGATGATATCATTTTTTTAAACAAAATTTTGCAAAGACTATCTTTATATTTTTAAGCGTTTAACTGTTGGATGTTTAAATCTAAAGAATATTTTACCAGGCAGCAGACAGGACTCGAAAGATTTCATTTGTTTGGTTGGATTGCTTAAGATTTAAAAACAAGAAACTTTAATATTCATAAGAAAGTAGTTCCTAAAACGTTTACATATCAAAATCTAAGGCTCAAGTTTTGCAATTGGTTTGTATGTTAAACAAAGCAACTTTTGCAATGGCCGCTCACTGGATGGGTGACCAAAAAGTTATTACATTGAGCCCCGCCGTGTTTCGGAAGGCACGTGAAATGGTTGATCCTGACTGTATCTGCTGTCGTTAGCACCCACCAATTCGCATTGGGCCCATGAGGTGAGTCAATCTCCCTATTTCATCCATAGAGAAAGCCTATGCAGTGGATTCATTAATAGGCTGATGATGACTGTACTTTAAAGTAGTTCTATGTTTAATGTAACTATATTTTTTTAACTCTCCCATGATGGATATTTACCTTCGAAAGATTCATATGTAAATAGCTAGCATGAGAGAGTTAATAAGTCATTAACAAACACTATAAAATACAAATTATAGCTTAATACCCTTGTTGAAGAGAAGTAACTGTAGATTGTTTCTCATCATTAGTAGAAACCACAATTGGATTGCTCTTCAGTGCTAGTTTTGCAAGATTTTTTACTTTTGAATCAATAGTTGCACTAAATAATATAGTCTGCCTTTTATCTAAAAACAAACATTATGATTAACTTTCCTTAATTAAGTGTGAATCTATAGTTTCTGGACCCAGGAGCCCAGAAAGTACACTTTAACATCATTAAGCATTTTATTTATTAAGCCTTCTTTGACAGTTTTCTTGAAATTTAAAATAAAAGAAACTCTTACATTCAATGTGCCTTCTGGCAAAGGCCTCCTCTAGCTCTTTCTAGTGTGTTCTATCAAGTACTATCTGATAGAACAGTAAGCATTAAGAACACCTTAATGAAACAGTTATTTTGCATACAAAACATACCTGGCAATAAATTTAGTATTTGTGTGATGTGTTTTTCGAACCCAGTTTCTAACAACTTATCAGCTTCATCCAGTACAAGACATTTAAGATTATTACAGGTGAGAATTTCAGGGTTTTCAAGGTGATCCAATAAACGACCCGGTGTACTTATTATTACATTGATACCTGTGAAGAAACATAATTTTTGATATAGCAGTGCAATAGGTAAACAAACTTACTGTCATTGAACTATTCAGCAGTCAAATTTATACAAAGTTAAATAATGAAACTTTCTTTTAATAATAAATACCATTTTTCTATCAACAATTACCTTTCTTTAACTTCATAATATCCTTTGCTTTCTTTTCTCCTCCGACAATTAGAGCACATGATAAATCAATATGAGTAAGCAGTTTCTTTGATACTTGGAAAGTTTGTAATGCTAATTCTCTAGTTGGTGACAAAACTACACACCCAGTACCTAAAACAGTAGGAAGTAAATGTAAAAAATGCATTTATTCAAGCTTCCTAATCAACAATGAAAACTACACTAATATAATTAGTAAACCTCAAATTAGATAGCAAGTGGAAAAACAAAAAATCTAATGTTTGATTATACTGTTACAGGGATATGATTTAAATTTAACCTGAACTGCAATATACTTCTTATGTATTGTGTGCAACAGTGAAAATTAGGTAGGTAACAGTGTTTTTATTTAGTACTTCTGCATATATTCTATAATGTTCCTATAAAATAATAGGTTTTCTACATTTATACATAAAAACGAATGTGAACCTTGATATGAAATATCTCTCGGATTCTGTTGAAATATTGATAATTTATTAAATAACAACAGATTATTTTTTACCATGTTTTCTTGTAAAACCATACTTTATCAGATTTTCTATGACAGGTACAAGAAAGGCCAGTGTTTTGCCACTGCCTGTTTTTGCAGCTCCTATAATATCTTTACCCATTAACAAGTATGGCAAAGATTTAGCTTGAATTCGCGTTGGTTTCTCGTAATTCATAGCGTTTAAGGATTCCAATAGTTTAGGATTAATTTTGCCTTCTAACATTGAGAAAGACGACTTTGATATTATTTCTTTCACATCCATATTGACCCTCATATATTTGAAATATCTTCTCGACTGAATTTTCTTTTAACTTACTGAGCTAGATAATTTGATGTAAATATTAAAAATAATAAATAAACCAACTTAACCTCAAATTGATACTATTTTTTGTATTCCCTTTTCAGGGAAGGCAAAGGGAACTATGCCCATACAGCCAAGTCTTCAGTTGCACTAATTTATTTTTATTACATTACAATATCCATGTGACGCATTCTAATGTTTTTTGGAGTGTTTGGCACGAAATGTATCGAGTTAGCTTTTTCGTTAAGCTTCTGTGAGGTAGTCAACACTACAATAAAGTTCTCACGACCACTTGACCGCAATAGCGTATATTTTAAATATTCTATATATTCTAATGGTGTTGATTCTGGCATGACTCTCTAAACCTAAACTTAAATTTGACAACAGTGCATCCTTGTCATTCTCTATACAGAATGAAAAGGAGAGACTGATGTTAAATTTAGTTTTAAGTTTAGAGAATCATGCCAGAATCGACGCCATTATATATATAGTGATTGATATCTTTGGTTTTGCAACAAACATTACTTATTCTTAACATTAAGGTTAGATTCTATCAATAATCTATGGATACTTCGCCTGAAGTCGCCGCCCAAGCTGTGACACTTATTCAGGCCGGACATAGCCAAAGAAACGTGAGTGCTCAACTTAATTTAAGTCGATCTGCGGCCCGAAATGTTTATCGGAGGTACCTAGAGACTGGCGGCTTTGTTCGTCGCCAAGGAAGGCCACGATCTCGGGTCACAACTGAAAGGCAGGATCGATTCATCGTGACGACCAGCTTGAGAAATCGTCACCTTACCTCCATTGAGATACAAAAACAAATTCGCGACATTCACGGAGTATCTGTGAGCGCTCGAACTGTTCGGAGAAGGTTAAAAGAACGCGATATGGTACCACACAAGCCAGCTAATGGGCCCAAACTAACGCGAGCCCACCGAACAGCGCGCCTTCATTTCGCACGCAGTCATTTAAATTGGACACAGCAAGATTGGAGCCGTGTACTCTTTTCTGATGAGTCTGAAATTGTGTTACATGGCAAATTGGCAATGATGGAAGGAAGAAGGTCTACCGACGTAAGGGAGAGCGTTTCGCACAATGCTGATTTGAAGAGAGGGTTGCTTATGGCGGTGGCTCATGGACTGTCTGGGGCGGTATATCCGCGAGCGGCAAAACTCAACTTGAGGTTGTTACAGGACCACGGCTGCCAACATTAAATGCTGAAAGGTACATTCGTGAGTGCTTAGAACCTCACGTGATACCATACGCAGACTATGTGGGCCCAAGTTTCCTTTTTATGCATGATAATGCAAGAGCCCATGCGGCCGGCATCGTCAGGGAATATCTTCGGGATGTGAACATCACAGTTATGGACTGGCCAGCCAGAAGCCCAGACATGAACCCCATTGAGCACATGTGGGACGAGCTAAAAAGACGTGTTAGGGCTCGTCAGCCAGTTGCCCAGACGATGCAGGAGTTGAAAACTGCCATAGAAGAGGAATGGGAGATGATCCCTCAAAATTTCATAGAGCGGTTGATAAACTCTATGCCTAATCGTATGAGAGCTGTGGTAGATGCCCATGGAGGCAACACGCGTTATTAAATTAAACCTTTATTTGATAAAACATGTTTTTTATTCAAAAATCAATTGCCTTTAACAAGGCGCATATCCGACTTGTTAGGCGTAGATCCATGTCGTATGGTATTCTGAATTCAAATTTAAAACAATACGATCGAAAAGATGGTAAAATGTATCAGGTTTAAAACTGCATCAACAGGTTTTGTTCAATCTAGCAATCATATTTCGGTAGGGGCCCTCTAAGGTGGGCTAATAGATGTGTCCAGAAGTGTATAAATGTAAAAGTTTGTATGTTTGATTTTACTCAATCATGCTAAACCGACTGAATGGATGAAATTTCGCACACACAGTTTATTACCCATTATAGGGACCTCTGTGAAGTTAGAAGAAGCCCCCCACTTTTTGAATTTTATTATTATCTAGGTTGTTCTATGTTTGTTCTACATTGTTCCAAAGTATTATTTGAAAAAACTAAAATTTGAAGCTGCCAGACAAGAAAAACCGTTTTTCTATGGTAGCCCCCCATGTTTGGAAATTCAATATTTTTTTAGTTGTTCCAAGTTGTTCTAGTTGTTCCGAACTTTGTTCCAAAGTATTATTTGAAAATATTCAAATTTGAAGCTGCCAGACAAAAAAAACGTTTTTATGGTAGCCCCCATGTTTGGAAATTCAATATTTTTTTAGTTGTTCCAAGTTGTTCTAGTTGTTCCTAACATTGTTCCAAAGTATTATTTGAAAATATTCAAATTTGAAGCTGCCAGACAAAAAAAAAACGTTTTTATGGTAGCCCCCCATGTTTGGAAATTCAATATTTTTTTAGTTGTTCCAAGTTGTTCTAGTTGTTCCGAACATTGTTCCAAAGTATTATTTGAAAATATTCAAATTTGAAGCTGCCAGACAAAAAAAGACGTTTTTATGGTAGCCCCCCATGTTTTGAAATTCAATACTTTTTTAGTTGTTCTAAGTTGTTCTAGTTGTTCCTAACATTGTTCCAAAGTATTATTTGAAAAAACTCAAATTTGAAGCTGTCAGGCAAAAAAAACCGTTTTTGAGATAGCCCCCCATGTTTGGAAATTCGTTATTTTTAAAGTTGTTCCAAGTTGTTCTAGTTGTTCCTAACATTGTTCCAAAGTATTATTTGATAAAAATAAAATTTGAAGCTGTAAGACAAAAAAAACTTTTATTTATAAAATAAAATCAATCGTACCTACCAGAGACAATAAATATATCAAAAATCAATTTAAACAATGACGATTGTACAACAACAGTACAACCGTGGGCTATATCGTTCCAATTTCATTGAATCATTTTGAATTAAATTAATAGAAAAGAAAACATTAGAATATAGGGTAAACTCCCTAATTGTTGGCACTCTAAGAGTAGGTAGCATGTCAGACATTTAATTACCATAAAATCACATCTAAATGAGTTAGTACACAACACACGTTACACATGTAACAGTATCAAAGAAAGTAGTTTAATCTTTGTTTTCATAATGGTATAGTCAATGAAGGCAAAAATCAGCTGCAACCTCCGATTTCGTTGAACCGCCATCGATTTTCATGAAAATTGGTAAGTAGGTGGGGGATACCATAAGAAACAAAAGTGACATAGTGCCAACTTGCGCTTTTGCCCTGAGGGTAGATACCACCCCTTCTCGGGGGTGAAAATTATTTTAATAAAAATAACTCCAGGAATCGATAGAAAGACAAATTCTAAGTAAAATTTGTTATATTAAGTTTTCGGAATAAATCAATACTTTCTGAGTTATTAAAGATTAAATATTGTGATTTTGCGTGATAAAAATACATGTTTAAGCGGTTTTTCATAAATAACTCAAAAACTATGAGCTTTACAAAAAAACATTAGTACCAAAATTGAAGCTAATATGAAAACAAACAAACGCCTACTTTGAAAAACCTTCTAATTTCAATTCAAAGTGAGCTATAGGTAATTGTATGTACATATATTTTTTTCGGCAAGTACTTAATCTAAGTATTCAAACCTAAATAACGGGAAACCGATGAATTTATGACATACACTTCCGGAGCACTTTTTAAATTCCTCAGAAATACCTTTATAATGAGCACTGTAAAAAGTTAATAGCTTCAAAATTGAAAAAGTTATGATAAATATAAGATAACACTTATTTTTTTTAGGAAAAACGAAAAATAATTCCAACCATTCATCAAAATGCATAGGTTTCCCGTCATTTAGTGTTGGAAACTTAGATTTAAGTACTCGTCGAAAAAATATATACATACAATTACCTATAGCTCACTTTGAATTCATATAAGAAGGTTTTTCAAAGAAGGTGTTTGTTTTTTTTATTAGCTTCAATTTTGGTAATAATTAGACTTGCAACGAATAGTATATTCGGCAGTATACCGAATATTCGGCGAGGCCCCTGACCGAATAGCTGAATATTAGGCAAAAGTATTCGGCTGGATTTTAGCGCCAAAAACTTGTACAAACGTGATTGTTTCGCGCCCCTTTGTTTGCAGTGCAATTGAGTCAAACGCAGTTTCAACAGAAATGGATCTTTTCTTAAATATTAGTAATATATCACGTCATGACAACCCTTATACATGGTGGCAGCAAGGAAAATTGAATTTCCGTGTTTGATTAAGATTGCAACAAAATATTTGTCGGCGCCAGGAAGTAGTGTTTATTCAGAGCGCCTTTACTCTGAAGCTGGGATGGTGTACGAGAAAAAAAGAATTTCTACTACTTCCTAAAAATGCAGAAAATTTAGTCTTTCTGCACCATAACCTTCCCCTTCTAAATTTTTATTATGAAAATAATTCAAATGCATAGAAAAATTCTTAACTTGTTTAATACAGAAAATGATTAAAATATGTTCCTGTTTTATGTACCAATGACTACTTAAAAAATGATTATAAAAGAAATGAGAACCTTTTAAATTTTAAAACCTATTTTAAACCCTTTTAAATTTTGATTACCACAATAATTCAAATACATAGAATCCTCCATTTTTCCAATTCAGAAGATGATTATGTACCAATGGCTACTTCAATGATTATATATAACAGAAATGAAAATATGAATATATACCTACGTAATCAATCGATATTAATTTTCATTTTACCAATTATTTCTCTATGACAAAATATATTATTTAAGTATTCGGTATTCGGTATTCGGCCGAATATAATAAAAGCAGCCGAATAGGCCGAATACCGAATAGTAACCGAATATTCGTTGCGTCTAGTAATAATATATTTTTCTTTAAACTCATAGCTTTTGAAATATTTATGAAAAACCGCTTAAAACATGAATTTTTTGACGCAAAATCACAATCTTTGATCATTATTAACTCAGAAAGTATTGATTTATTTCGAAAACTTAATATAACAACTTTTGC